TAAAGAACCCTAAGATGCACACTGATCATTTGTAAACTCTTGAGATCACAATTTCTCTTGCCAGCATTGCATTGGATCTTTTCAAGTCACAATTCTTAAAAGGTGATTTACTTTTCAATAGTGTTGCTTTGTTTTAAAGATTTTCCTCTTTTGGAAGAAGAAAAACTGCCCTTCCATCTCATCTGCTGTAAGCTTGTATTTGGGTCTACCACATTTCCTAAGAACACTGAAATGAAAACTAATGCTGGCCTCAATCTGTCAATAACAAGAATACAGTTTTTTCCCCACTCATTTCTAGTTTCAAGTTTTACCTTTAAATATAGCAAAGTAAGCTATTTTAACTGGTCTCCCTGTGTCCCCCCCCCACCCCACTTTCTTCTAAGACATTCACTCCTAAATATTTATTGACCACTTATTATGTGCCAAGAACACACTACGTTCTGGACATAGCAGCAAACAGTTCCTCTGGAGCATAGTAGACCCTAAAAGACTGCTTCCCCAGTCCTTTCTCTCCCATCTAACAGATACTCACTTGTTTCTTACGTGGCAACTCGCAGAACCGTGGCCTGTGACGTGGAGGGTATTTTTCTGAAAGTTCTTCATTTTTGCTCAGGCTTATTTGTGTTCTTACTTGTCTGACATTGAAAAAGCAGTCATGTCACAAATGAGTATTTCTACCAAGACTGTCAATAAATCTACTCAATTATCACACAGTCACACACACAAAAAAATTATCCATGTTTCTTTCCAACTACATTTTCTTAAAATGACCTTTTATTGTGTTTTAGTCAAGTACACAACAGTTTAGGTTCTCATTCAACAATGACCAGGCAAAATATTCAGCAACATTGGTCACATTGTTCACAATGTGTGATGTCATCATTATTCCCATTGTGGCTGTTATGTTTCCATTAATGTAGTTTCCCTCCCCCCTTTCCTTCTCATCTTTATTTTTAAAGTAATTGTTGACTGTATCCTCCAACTATGTTTGTATTTAGAAGGCTTCCTAACTCTGCCTCTAGCAAGTTACTAGCTCTCAGAACTTCAGTTTCCCTATCTGGGAGCTAGAGGAGCTAAGAGTACATAGAGTTATTATGAAATAAAATCTAGAAAACATATGCCATATACCTGGTACAGAATCTCGTACATATTAGGGACATAAAATTATAGTCACAATTATTAAAAACTTACAGTGTGTTTGTTAGGTACCATGTTCATCATATTACATATGTCATTTCATTAATGGTATCTATCGTTATAAGTGAGGAAGTATTGGTGGTTCACTGATACAATTCCTGCCTCCGTGTGGGGTTCAATTCTCAGCTGATACATTTCACATGCAGCCACCACTCATCTGTCAGTGGAGACTTGCATATTGCACAATGTTTCAGAGGAGCTTCCAGACTAAGACAAACTAGGAAGAAAGGCCTGGAGATCTACTTCTGAAACTCAGCCAATGAAAACAGGAATCACAACAGTCCGATCCACAGCTGATCAAGGGGGAGGTGCAGGACCGGACAGGGTTTTGTCCCCTTGGCCATGGGGTTGCCGTGACTCAAGGGCTTACCTCACTGCAGCTAACAACAACAACAGTTCTATAAGTTGACCTAATATAGTAATTAAGAAAAATAGAATTTGAATTCCAGCTTCTCCATTTCATAGTGTGGCTTTGAGTAAAGAATGGAACCTCTCTAAGCCTGTTTCCTCATCTTTAAAATGGGGATAATAGAAAATGTTAGGCTGTTTTGAGAGATAATATGACTTAGTAAACATCAACCTCTCAGCACAGTGTCTGACATATGGGATGCTACCATTAAATAGTAGCTGTTACTGCACCATGGTACCTTGGATTTAATTCTTATATGATCATTTACTGGGCGCCAAAGTATAAGATATACTGATAGATTGGGGTAGACACTCAGATGAACAAGATAGGATTCTTACCCTTAAACAGTAAAAATTACTGAGTGGAACAAAGGCATAAAACAGTGTACATGAAATAAACATTAAATAAGGAAGCAAGCCACATGCTGTCAGAGCATAATGTCAAGAGCAATTAATTCCAAGAGCACCAAGGAAGAAGGATCACAGACAATCTGACATTTGCCGTATGACTTTAAATATATATCTTATTGTATTTTTGGTGAAAGTTTACATAGCCAAGTAGGTTCCCATTTGACAATTTCCATAGAAATTGTTCAGTGATATTAGTTACATTTATCATGATGTGTCAACATTCCCTTTAATTG